TTGAGCCTGCAACCCAGGCACCTGCCCTTGACTGGAATCGAACCCGGGACCCTTCAGTTCGCAAGCCAACACTCTATCCACTGAGCCAAACCGGCCAGGGCTCCCCTGACTTTTTAATACCAACCTCTTAAACATCTGTTTAAGATGGATTTATTGCTTTTAAAATCTCAGAGGGAAAACAGAGCCTAAGTTTGTTCTTCATCTTCAAGTTGACTCTTCCCACTTTAAAATCAGAGTCTTCCCTCTGGCCACAAAGTCCACTGTGCCTCTGTCCTCCCTGCTCCCACATACCAGATGCTACAGGTGCAAGGAGGTGCAGGGACAAGTGTCACTACAGTGCCCCGACCCACCACGCTGAGGTTGCTGCCTGCGCATGGACTCGGGCAAGCAGGAGGCAAGGAACAAGGAAGAGACCGCAGTAAGAGCTTTGAGGACCTGCTCGGATCCCAGCTTAGCCACTTTATTATCTGCCTGACCATGAACAAGTCACTAGACTTCCCAGAGCCTCACTGCCATCGCCTGTAAAACGAGGGTAACTTCCTATGCCTCGTGAGACTAAGGACCAGAGGTTCATACGTGTAAGCAACCTGCAGCACAGACGTTGTCCAGCAAGTCATTGTTCATCTCAGTATCATTCTAACTAGTGCTGGTTTTCGATGAGACCTGAAGTTCCTTTCCATACACCAAGTGCACACCCACTCCGAGGCCGAGCAATGCTGCGCTTCCACATATATTCCCCGCAGGGAGCTCTGCCCTCCGGAGGAATTTGAAACGTCTTCCACCTGTGGGCAGATGCTTCGATGAGGGAATCCCACAAACGCAGTGTGATCGGTCTGCTGGGTTTCATCCTGGCTCCACCGCTTAATTCCAGGCAAGTTACTTAACCTATTTCTCACCTCTGAAATGGGAACCACACCCACACCTCACTCCTAGGCTCCTTGTGCAGAGCGAATGGGATCATGTGTGTGAAATCCTTAGTGCACTGGCTCATCCGTAAAAAGTGGCCAAAGATTAATACCCTTCTTATGTGCTCAAGGTCAGCCCTTGCTGCCCAGAACAAAAGCATAGTTGGAGATAGAAGTGCTGGACTGGCATTCTTTTTTTTTTTTAAATATATTTTATTGCTTTTTTACAGAGAGGAAGGGAGAGGAATAGAGAGTTAGAAACATCGATCAGCTGCCTCCTGCACACTCCCTACTGGGTATGTGCCCACAACCAAGGTACATGCCCTTGACTGGAATCGAACCTGGGACCCTTGAGTCTGCAGGCCGATGCTCTATCCACCAAGCCAAACCGGTCAGGGCTGGACTGGCATTCTTAAGTGCCACTGATTAGCAGGGTGTTGTGGGCCTGAACTTGTCCGCTCTGTGCCTCAGTTTCCCCATCTGCAAACCAAAGAGGTTGGATTAGTTGATTAGTTGGATTAGTTAGAGCCTTCCAGCTCTAACTCTGAAGGACGGCTGAGGGAAAGTTGTATGTCTGCCCCGTGTGGTTTCTGGATGGGCCCAGTGTTCCCAGCCACCCCATGCCGAGCAGAATCAAGACGAGGTCTGGGAAGAAGGCTCTGGCCTCCTCAACCAGTGCCCTGGTTAAGAGAGCTGCTCTGGGAACTCACCAGCCCAGCTTGAAGTTCTGTTTCTACTGCTGGGTGTGACCTGGGGAAAGTCACTTCACCTCCTTGAGCCTCAGTTTCTTCATCTGTAAAATGGGACCTAAAATGGTACCCAGAGTAATGACCACATGAGCCAATGCCTTCAAAGTGCTTAGCACACAGAGGAGAAGTCAGTACTATACTGGTGTGTTCTTTCATCATTATTGATGCCAATTGGTGTGGATGCCACTGCTGGGCCAGGTGCTTTTCTTAGAGCCAGTCTGAGTGCCCGTGAGTCCATTCCAAACATTATTTCTATTGACAATAAAGCTCTTTATGAGGACAGCGGCCTCCTGGGGACCCGCCTGGAGAAGGGTGGCTGGCCTCTGCATGTCAATCGCCCAGATTCCCGTGATGCCAGGTCAGCCTGAAGATGATGACAGCCACGCATCCTTCCCAACATGCCCAGAAGACCAGCTCTGCGGGGCTGGGAAGGACTGCAAACTCCTTCTGGCTCAGCCCTTTACCTGGGGTAGGAATGCCAGGAGGAGAAACGACCTATCTGAGTCTTGCGGCATGTTCATAGACCGAGGACCACAAGGCAGTCTGATAGCATCAAAAAGAGTGTCTGTGTTGGATTCTTGGCTTCTGTGTTGGATTACTGTGAGGCTGAGGGCCCTCACTGGACTTCAATTTCCTCATTTGAGAAATGAGATACTTACTAATAGAGCCTACTTCTCAGGGGTGTTGCAAAGATTACATGAACATATTTGTAACATATAGCCAGCCCTCTGTAAAAAACATTCATATTACTCATGTCTCTACCCTCTATTCCCCCTCCATACCACACTGGAAACACACAGGGCATTGATTTTTGGGTTCCCTTTCAGCTGCAGAGCTGTCTGGGGTAGTAGAGTTGACTTGGAATTCCAGTCTGGAAACCTGACTGAAGCCCTCCTCTGCCTCTCGATTGCTCTGAAACAGCGGTTCTCAACCTGTGGGTCGCGACCCCTTTGGGGGTCGAACGACCCTTTCACAGGGGTCGCCTAAGACCATCGGAAAACACATATATAATTACATATTGTTTTGTGATTAATCACTATGCTTTAATTATGTTCAATTTGTAACAATGAAAATACATCCTGCATATCAGATATTTACATGACGATTCATAACAGTAGCAAAATTACAGTTATGAAGTAGCAACGAAAATAAGTTTATGGTTGGGGGTCACCACAACATGAAGAACTGTATTAAAGGGTCGCAGCATTAGGAAGGTTGAGAACCACTGCTCTGGGACCTTCCGCTGGTCACCTTCCTTCTCTGGCCCTCAGCTTCTTCCTCTATAGCAATGCTGTCCAAGAGAAATATAACGTGAGCCACATATATCACTTTAAATTGTTTAGTAGAAGTCAAGAAACTCAATTTTAATAATATAATAATTTTCTTAACCCATGCATCCAAGATATCATTTCAGCAAGTCATTAATACTAAAAAAATTATGAATGAGGTATTTTGTTCTTTTTTTTTTTCTTACTAAGCTTGAAATCTGGATGATTTTCAACTTGGGGCAACTTTGGCAATTGTCTAGGATGCTTTTGGTTGTCACAAGGGGAGGGGCAGGGAGTGCAGCTGTGTGTGCTACTGGCATCTAGAGGGCAGAGACCAGGATGCTGCTAACCACCCTCCATACATAGGGCAGCCCCCCCACAACAAAGCAGAAACAGTGCCTGCTTTACGCGTGCAACCTAGCACAGTGCAGATCAGCCAAGAGTCGCATGGAGCTGGTGGCTACCATACTGGACACGATGGCTCTATAATAAAAACATTTAGTCATGCACTTAGAGAAGCCACGTTTTTAGGAATTGGGGTTTTGGTAAGTTTGTTTTTCTACTCATCCCAAAATGATCGGCCAAATGAGATGTGGCGGGTTCCCAGTGCCTGGCTGGCTAAGGACAGAGCCCATCTGACTCTTCCCAAAGCCACCCACCCTCCCTGGGGGACTGAGCCTGGGACAGACAGTGCACCCTGTTGTTCTCTTCTGGGGAGACAACGCTGCAGGCCCTGCTACCTGCCTGACAGGGCTATTGTGGCTCCGGGAGAAAAGGGCTTTGTCGGGAAGCAGTGAGGAGCCTGCAGTTCAATGGGCTCTTTATGCCCGCACTCCCAGGATGCACCGGATGGCAGCCCGGCCGAGGCCCCGCCCCCTCCTAGAACAAACAGGACCCTGGGCCCAGAGGGGGTGTTGGGGGGCCCTCCCGTAGATCCCAGCTCCCTCCAGCTCAGCCCACTGAGCTGAAACCGGAAATTGGCCTAACTCTGAAAGGCCTGTCTCGAAGCACAGGGTGAACTCAGGACTGCCCTTCGCTCTGGGTAAGGGGGCCCAGCCCTGCACCCTGAAATGTAGTGGCTCCACCAGTCACAAACACATACAAAAACAAATGTATTAATAACGCGTGGGCGTCTGTATCTCAGAATCTGGGCTGCACAATGCACTGTAACCTCAACAGGCTCTCCCATGATTTGAAACGGCCAGGCCGCGGGGGCCGCTCCACCTCTCTTGTCCTCTGTTTTTTTGTTTGTTTTGTTTTTTTTAATATATTTTATTTTTTACAGAGAGGAAGGGAGAGGGGTAGAGAGTTAGAAACATCGATGAGAGAGAAACATTATCGATCAGCTGCCTCCTGCACACTCCCTACTGGGATATGCCTGCAACCAAGGTACATGCCCCTGACCGGAATCGAACCTTAAACCCTTCAGTCCGCAGGCCAAGGCTCCATCCACTGAGCCAAACCGGGCGGGGCTTGTCCTCTGTTTTTATTGTTACACAACAGTAACACGGTCCTTCCACCGCCCTATTTTTTAAGTGGTGATTTAGATAACTGACCCCATTGTGTTTCCCCCATAATACATAAGGTTCTCCGGGGACAGGGGCCAGGTAGGACTCATTTTGGCCTCCAGTCACCTCACTTCCGTCTTTCATTCCATTTACCAAGCGTCTGCCATCACTCACTCCACATGCACACCGACTGCTCACTGCGCACCCACTGTGTGCCCAGCACTATCAGACCTACGTTGAAGGAATGAGCAAGGCAGGGAGGTAGGAAGTCCGGAAGGCAGGCGGGAAGGAAAAAACCAGGGTCCTGGCCCCCCTCCCCGGGCCCGAGAGGACCCCAAGTGGCACCAGTGTCCCCTTCCACCCCCCACTTCCACCTTGGCCAGAAAACTGCCCTCTCTCCCGCCGTCCTGGGGCCCATCAACGCTGTCACTGGAGAGGGAACAGGGTGCCAGTCCCAGCTTCGGAGGGTGGTGGCGCCCGGGGACCCGCCCCCAGCCGCCTGCGCTGGGCGAGGGGCGGTGACTCCCTCGCGCGGAGCCCGGCAGCCTCCGCCCCCCAGAGGGCGTGCGCCCCTCTGCGGCAGCCCCAGTGCGTGGGGTGGGGGTGGGGGGACCCCGGCCTCAGAGTTGCCCAAGACCCTGGGTGACTCCTCCCCGGGGACCCTCCCCTTCTGGGGCGCGTCATTCTCCCCACCCTGGGTCCCGACCCGGGCGGCTTCTCGCACGCCCGGGACAAGTCCCAGCCACCTGCTCCGGAGCCCCGGCGCCCGGGCGCCATCCGCGCGCGTCGGTGCGTGCGCCCAGGGCCCATGGAGCCGCCCGCCAGCAATGCCAGCTATGCCAGCTGCGAGAACGGTGAGTACAGGGCCAGGAAGGGGGGCGGGGCGGGGTAGGGGGAACCCAGGGGTCTGCGCGCCTTCCATTCCGCCTCCTTTCCTTCACATCCTCTCCTGCCAGGGGGGCCCCAAACGGAGGGGTGATGTGTGGGGTTGGCGTTGGGGAGGGAGGTCAGCACGAGTTGTCTTCCACCCAGTTCTCAGACCTAACTTGGGAAGGAGCAGGGGTTCTGGCTGACTTCCCCCATCTTGGGAGCTGGGTAGCTGAAGGGACAATGGGAGGAAGGGGCACACATGGGGTAGGGAGGAGGGGGAAGCAGGCATTGATTGCAGTAGGTCGACCTAAAGGTGTGGGATCCCAGGTTTCTTTTAATGTAATACTTGCTTCAGATTTTGGTACCTACCCATGCTTAGCTGTCTTCCTGGGGCCCACTAAAGACAGGTGAGGGACACCCCCCCCCCCCCCAAACCCACACACACCTTTTAGAAAAAGGTGGGAAAGAACAAGCCAGGAAAGGATAAGTCAAGACCCTTGGCTTTACATTGTCTTCTTGCCATTTCACTCCTAACACAACCCTGGAAGACAGGTTGATGTGATTGCCTTACTGTCTGGAGACAGAGATTCCGTGGCTCCGGAAAGTCTGATAACTCGGGGTAATTCAGTGGGGAAGTGGAATACAGAACGAGGGCTCTTGGATTCTGAAACCCATACTCACACCACTGTGCTCAACTCGTTCTCGCTGTGTCTGCTTTCTCACCTTTCTAAGCTGTGGGATACCCCTGTTGCTCTAACTTCTCTCTCCGGTGAAGCTTTCAAAGCCGGCCTGTTGGGTGTTGGCTCGCTCTGGTTTCCTGACCAACAAGGTAGCTCGTTTTCAGCCTCTCCTTCCCCCGGGGAAGAAGATGTTCCCCAGCCCCAGTGTATTCTGGAAGAGAAGCAGGAATGATGGGCCCAGCACCTGCTTGTCCGATGGCATCCTTCCCAGAACTGGGTTTCCTTTGGCCCTCAGCCCTCTTTTTCTTTTTATCCCTATGGGAGAACTTGGCTCAGTGTAGGGTGCTGTGCCCCTGGGGACTTCAGGCCTCTCCAAAACAGCCAAACCCACAGTGGGGCCTCTGCTTCCACCTGCCGGAGGTGCACATTCAGGAGGGCAGGAGATGGTGTGGGGACGGGCTTGACCTTCCCCTTGGGAGTCGCCTTCCTTGGCCCACGACCTCCCAGGCTCTGGCTCATTTCCTGGGCGCAGGGAACTCCCAGGCTTGACTCTTGAGGAACAGGAGTGAGCAATCAGAACGAGTTTGATTAGGGGCCGAGCGGGCTTCTTGTCTCATCTTCTCTCGATTGTGACACGGATGTCAGAAAGACAGATCGCCCACTGCAAAGGACACAGAGGTGTCCTCTGGTGGGTTCCACACCCAGCTGCCACTGGGTGTGTGACACAACTTAGTACTTGCCCTTCTTGGGGCCTCAGTTTCCCCAGCTGAAAGAGGGCTAGATGGGTGCCCTCTAAGGACTGTTCCAGCTCGGCTGGTCCGTGCTTCTGTGCGAAGGAAGAAAGGTCAACATTGCCCTTATTTAGTGGCATCCACTAAGATGCCACTCTGGGGGCTGGGTATTCCAAAGCCAGAGCTGCTTGACTGTGAATTATTGCAGGGTTGGTCCAAGGAGAAGTGCTTGGCCCAGGCTTACATCCCTGACACTGGATACGGATCTTTATAACACACAGTTAGAAAAAGACCTTCTCCCACCAGAGGTCACAAATTCAAAAGCCTACAAGGGCTGAGTAAGTAAAAAAAAAAATATGACCAAAGGAAGCCTGGTATGGACTCCGGGGCATGGCAAAGAGCATGTCCCATCTAGGGCAGTGGTCGGCAAACTCATTAGTCAACAGAGCCAAATATCAACAGTACAACGATTGAAATTTCTTTTGAGAGCCAAATTTTTTTTAACTTAAACTATATAGGTAGGTACATTGTTATTAACTTAATTAGGGTACTCCTAAGCTGGCCTTTGCTATAAACGTCCTCAATCTGATTGAGGTACATTCGCTGAGGTCGACCCCTTCCAACTCTCCCATCCACACTCTTCTTGTATACTTGTTTCGTGTATCTCCTTTCGTTCATCCTCTCTATATGTCCAAACCATCTCAACATACCTTTCTCAAACCTCGACACTACATCTTCTTCCACTCCACAACGTTCCCTGTACGTGTGCACCCGCACGTGGTATTTTGTGGAAGAGCCACATTCAAGGGGCCAAAGAGCCTCATGTGGCTCGCCAGCCGTGGTTTGCCGACCACTGGTCTAGGGGGACAGCAGTGCTCCGAGGCAGCCAATTGTTACAGTGGGAAGGTCTGCCCCATAAGGTAACCAAGAGCTGCATTTTCATGAGAAGTCTCCTGATTTTTAAATGTTGGTAACTAATTCATATTTTAAAATAACCCTCAAGAGGCCAAATGAAACACCACCACCCCCTTGCTCCCTATTTTGAGGGGTGGTGGTGGTTGAGAGCATGGGCTTTGGCGGCAGGTAGGCTTGGGGTCCAATTCTGGTTTCACCAGTTTCCAGCAATGTAGCCTTAGGCAGGTTGCGGAACTTATCAGGGTCCCGATTTCACCAGCTAAAACCTTGGACGTGATCACTGTGCCATTTTCATGATGGGAAGGTCCATGGAAAGCCCAGAGCAGAGGGCCACGTGAACACTAGCAATGGAGGACCATTGGCTATGCTTTGTACTGTTCCTTGAACTTGGACAGTTTAGCTTTTTGACTAAAGGTCTGCCCCTCAGGCCCAAGTTTGTCCTGTTGTCCTCAGTGTTTGTGCCAGGAGGACAAGCAGAAGTGGGCTGGCTCTGGGGTGTTGGGGTCCAGCCCCAGCAGGTCCAGGGGTTCCCAAAGGTGTGGACGGAGTCGGCGAAGAATGAAGGACACGGAGGCAGCGTTCAGTTGATCAGCATAGCGAGGTTCTTTTTTTATTGTCCTGTTACATCTATATTTATACCATTTGATCCCATAAGCATGCCTCTATAATCACATCATGGTATGTTTTGGGTAACGTTCTACAGTTCCTTGTTTCTTATCTGACCTTTGCCAAAAATCCTGTCTCTATCTATCTAGTTCTGTTGATTTTAATCTTGTCTAGGTTAATCTCTGTGTTTCCATTACAAGGGCTATTCCAAGGTCGATGCTCTACTGATAAGCTACAAGGAAGTGACTGAAGGAGATTATCCTAGCCAGTAAAGGTTATGTCCTCCCAGCCTCGCTGCTTGCCTTCCCTGGGACTGCCCTGTGTCGATGGATCTCCAGGGGTATAGGCTTTGGTGCTTTCCCTGGTGGGCAGACCCCTGGGGATGTGGGCCCAACAAGTCTCAAATTTATTGCCAACAGTCTTAGTCCAAGTTCTTCGTAAGTAGTACATGGTATTTCTGTAACAGTAGGGGGATTTACTGATTTATTCTCTTCCTTAGTCCTGTTAATCCCTAACCTGGGGAAACAACCTTTCTCGGGGAGGTGGTCCTGTTTAAAACACATAGCGCTAAAACGGGGAGCAAACATATGCCATATACGCCAGGTCCCTTGAAACATAAGCTGTGCAGATGTTTCTTCCTTGCAGCGACTGTGTCAAGCAGCAAGGGTGGACCGGCTTCCGGCACTGGGGCATGAGGGCGGATTCAGACTCACAGACTCTAGGACTTGGAAAGCAAAATGTAATCAGAATCTGAGAGGGACTCTGGTCCCTCTGAGGCCTAAAAATAAGCCCCCGCCACTGGCCACAAGCATGGGAGGTCTCAGAAGTAAGGCCTGGGAATGGTCAGTTATAACCAATGGAACGCTCATATTTCATCATCCTCAGACCTACAAAGGGCTGTGGGCTCTCTAACCTCACTGCCTTGTGTTACCTGTCAGGGTCTCCATTGTGGCTGGTTAGGGAGATGTAAACGAGGAGGCCTCTGGGAGGGAGAATCCCGGTGTGATCCTGAGCTGTTGGAGGCCTGGAGGCTGGGAGGGGATTCCTATGGAGGTGGGAGGTTGGATTCAAGGATAGCTCAGGGACTCTGCCTGTTGTTTGGGCATCAGAATAGCTGAGTGGCTAGGTGCTGGGGTTCGGGAGTCCATCTGTGGTCTTGGGCGAGGTGCCTGACCTCTCAGGGCTTCCAAATCTGTGTCTGTGAAATGGGATTTAAAGACAGCACTTATGTGACAGGTGGTTATAAGAATTTGATGAGTTCATGCAGGCCTGGCATAAGCTCCGGTGAATGCTAACTGCTGCTTTTAGGTGGGGGGCCTAGTGTGCGCATGGAGTCCTGCCATGGTTGAAGCATAGGGTCTGAAACGGTGGTCGATTCTAATATTTTTAGTGTGCCGATGTCCCCCTACATGACTCTCTCCCCCTGGTCTTCCCGCCTAGGTTCCCTGATCACCCTATACTGCTCCTCCCAGCAAGTCCTATGCCAGATCGTCGGTGACCTCAACCCCCAGGCGCCCAGCAATGCCACCTCTATCAGCTGGCATGAGAGATTCACGAAGAACTACAGCTTCTACGTCGGCCTGGGTCTGGCCTTCCTGTCCAGCTTCCTCATCGGCAGCAGCGTCATCCTCAAGAAGAAAGGCCTCCTGCGTCTGGTGGCCTCGGGGGCCACGCGGGCTGGTAGGCTCCTGGTGGGGGAGGCGGGCAGGTAGAGATGAGGTGCTGGGCAGCTGAACCCTCAGACAGCCCTGTGAACCTCACTTCACTGAAGCAGTTTGAGAGCCTGGCCTGTAACGGCGCAAAAGGCTCACTGTCGACCCCATTGGGAATCCAGTCCACCACCAGGAGACCTTCGTTTATAATCCAATTTCCTGACATCCTCATGGTCAGTTAACTGGGGTGAAGAGAGGGAATAGTCTCAGGGCCAAGACTCAGAAACCCCAGGTCTAGTCCCAATTTTATTTCTTTTCTTTTTTTTCTTTTTTTAATATATTTTATTGATTTTTTACAGAGAGGAAGGGAGAGAGATAGAGGGTTAGAAACATCGATGAGAGAGAAACATCGATCAGCTGCCTCCTGCACATCTCCTACTGGGGATATGCCCACAACCAAGGTACATGCCCTTGACCGGAATCGAACCTGGGACCTTTCAGTCCGCAGGCCGACGCTCTATCCACTGAGCCAAACCGGTTTCGGCCCAATTTTATTTCTTATCAGCTGTGTCATCATAGACAAGTCACAACTTCCCTTCAAAATGAGACTACAAATACCTCTGATGAAACAATATCAGACACTACTGTGCCCTCACTTGCTAACATATTGACCCCTTTATGGGCTACACAAAATCGTAGAATCTCTGTCCACAGGGAGGTGCTTGTTTGGAAAATAAGACGTGTACCCATGAAATATTTCTTGAGAAATGGCATCATGTGTACAAGAATGTCCTCATTTAATCATCATTCACTGTGTACCTGCTGTGTGCCAGGTGCCATGTTGGACATGGGATGCAGTGCCTTTGTGGGGCATTGAATCTGGTGGGAGAGACAGACATGTAGTAGGCAGTTGTTTCATTGTGTGTTAAGTGATGGGGAAAATAGGATGCTATGGCAATATTTTGGAGGGGCATGTAAAGCCTGGGCTTTGGGGGTTAGGAGAGGTTTTCTGGAGAAGCAATTCAGAAGCTGCGACCTAAATAATGAAGTGATAACACGGCGGGGGGGGGGGGGGGGCGGGGGGTGGTGCGGAGGAGGATGTAGTGTTCCAGGCAGAAAGAACAGCATGTGTGAAGGCTCAGAGGTGAGAGAGCATGAGTGATGTTAGAGACTAAATGTAGTTCAGGATAGCTGGATCATAGCCAGGGAAGAGATGGTGTTGGGGCCAGATCTTGACGGGTCTTGTAAACTGGGCTTCAGAATTTGAATGTGATTGTAAGTGACTGAAATTTATGATGTGCGATGATTCCCGGTGGCTGGGTGGAGAATGGATTAGGGACAAGTTGGAAGACCAATTGGGGGAGAGAGACAACAGAACTTGGTCTGGGCCTGAGAGAGAGCAGTGGGCATGGAGACAAGTGGTGGAGTCCAGTTTTGAAGGTAGAACTTACTGGGTTTGATGTTGAAGGGGAGGGTAAGGACACGAGGCAAGGATGACACAGCTTTACGGTTTGAGCAACTGGGGAAATGAGGGTGCTGTTTTGAGAGATGAATAATGCAGGAGGAGCAGGTTTGTGGGAAGATGATGTGTTCAAGTTGGGACATGTTCAATTTAATTTTCTGCAATTTTAATATCTTCTGAGATTTCAAACCTTAGAATAAAATGCTTTCAGAGCTGTTAACTTTTTTGTGTGTATGTGTGAGAGATTTTAACTCCTTTAGGAACCTAAAGACCTTCTTAGGAAAATGGGAATTTACAAAAAAATGACATGCAATTTTGGATCTTCACAGAACCATCTTTAACCCAGGCATCATCATCATCATCATCATTGCTAATATTATTGAGTATTGACTATGGACCAGGCTCTGTGCCCACCATGTGAGCAAAGCAGACACAATTCCATTTTAGTGGGAGAAATGCCAGAAAATAAACAGATCGATTCACATTATAGATGAGGAAGAAGAGCTGGGTGAGATGATAGAAAACCCCAAGGGGAAGTCACAGAGATACGGGTTCAGGGAGCAAGGTCTCAGAGGCAGCAGCACTCAGGCAGAGCCTATAGAGTGGGTGTAGATTCAGGCAAATATCCTTAAGGAGACTCTTCTGAACACAGAAAAGCATGTGCAAAGATCTTAAGGCCAAGCCCAGCATGTGTGGCTCAGTGGTTTAGCCTTGACCAATGAACCAGGAGGTCACGCAGTTCGATTCCTGGCAGGGCACATGCCCGGGTTGTGGGCTCTATCGCCAGTAGGGTGTGTGCAGGAGGCAGCTGATCAATGATTCTCTATCATCATTGATGTTTCTATTGCTCTCTCCCTCTCCCTCTCTAAAATCAATATCTATATATATAAAAGCTTAAGCGACCGAACGACAGATCAACCAGTTTCTATGACATGCACTGACCACCAGGGGGCAGATGCTCAATGCAGGAGCTGCCTCCTGGTGGTCAATGTACTCCCACAGCCAACCTCCTGGGGCTGGCCAACCTCCCGTGGTCCCTCCCCCTGGCTGACCAGCCCCGATCGCCCTGATTGGGACTGGGCGAAACAGCCCCAATCAGTCCTGATCACCAGCCAGGCCGAGGGACCCCACCATGCACAAATTCGTGCACTGGGCCTCTAATATATATATATAAATGATATATACAAAAGACTCATCATTTTTGAAGAACTAAAATAAAGCTTCAGCGGCTAGATTGTAGTAAGAAGAGTGGCAGGAGATACCTTGGGAGAGGTGAGCAGGGTCAAAACTATGAACTTGTTCATAGTCTTTATCCTAAGAGTATTTGGAAGCCATTGACCAGCTATCCGCTGAGAATGACTAAATCGTAGACTACTGGCTGCTATGAAAGGAATGGATTATAATGGGGCAAGAGAAGAACCAGAGGAGGCTGCTGCCTCAACCCAGCCCAGAGGTGATGACAGTCCTTGGAGTTGGGTGGTGGCCGTGGAGAGGACACATGTAAGATGCTTTTTGGAGACAGAATGAGCAGGATGGACTGGATGCAGAAGGTGGAGGGGTGGGAGGAGCCAAGGGATAAGCCTGGTTTCTGGCTTCAGCAACTAGGTACATGGAGGTGCCAGTTTCTGAGTTTCATTTGGTGGGTGGATGGGGAGCATGTAAAATCAAGAGTTCCATTTAGGACCGAGTTTGAGGTGCCTTCGAGAGATCCAAGAGATGTCAAATAAGCAACTGGATATACACCTGGGCTCAGAAGAAAGGATCGGGGCACATACATGAAATAGGGACACACAGTATTTAAAATTTGGGGAATGGGTGACCTCACTAGGAAAGGGCCCAGAAGCAAGCCCGGAGAACTAACCACAGCTAACGTATATTGAACCCTGGAGATTGTGGAGCGAAGGCAGAGATGGCACCGGTGCCAGAGAAAGTGTGGCCAAGTGCTACCTTTGTGTCCCTTTCTTTCTACAGTGGACGGAGGCTACGGCTACCTGAAGGACGCGATGTGGTGGGCCGGATTTCTCACCAGTGAGTAGGGGCTTTGCTGAGTGACAGTGACCTATTGATGGCAGAGGCAGAGGGGAAAGGAAGGGTGGAGGGGATGTTCCTGTCTCTAAAGTATGAGCGCGAGGCCCAGGTTTTCAGGGGGACGCCTGAGAGTCTTTGCAGGTAGAACATCTTACCTGCGTCTCAGGTCACTTTCTCAACCCCAAGTCGGTTTTTCATCCATGAAGCATCTGTTCCCAGAGAGGTTTGTACAGAGCTGGTCATGATAAAAGAGCAATTTCTCAACGTCCCCTGAAATATAGGGAGAGATCATTGTCTGTTGGTGTCTTTTGGGCTTCTCCGTGCAGAAGCTGGTGCTCCTGAGCCAGTTCCCCCATTCCACAGGCAATCTGTGGGTTCACGTGGACCAAGGCTGGTCTGCCACTTAAGGTTTGCTCCAATTTGCACGTTCTCACAGTTCCCCCACTTGCCACCCACCCTCTCTGGCTTTTAAGCCCTAATTCTTTCAGATGGAAAATTAGCCAGCTTTCCATTTATAATTCCCCATGTCAGATTTTGATTCCAGTGCTAGCCAGAGCGATCACATTTGCCATCTTCTTTCAAAGAGCAGACCCAGGTCATTCTCTTCCAGCAGAGAGACAGAAGAGGCATGGCAGGAGTTTGCAAACGGGGGAGAATTTGGCCCTTGGAGAATGTCAGGCTTTCTAACCACCTGCCTCTCTGTTGTAAACCACCCACATTTCCTCCGGGAAAGATGACTCTGGACCAGTTGGTACCTGGAGAATTGATAACTGTAACTGTCTCTTTATTTGATAATTAACACCTTTTAGAACTTACCTTAAAGACACAGAGGAAATATGGGCAGTCCTTGAGACACACTTAACGATGCCTGGCCTAGAAGCCAAGAGACGCCCAACAATAAGACCATGTCTACCACAACCATGTCATGTGACTTTGAACTCTGGGCCTCGCTTCCCCATCTTTAACATGGAAAGATTTGATCAGGATGACCTGGGCCTGGCCTTCTGATCAGAGTCTCCAGGGAGAGCACATAAGGATCAGGAGTTTAAGGACTGCTGGTCTGGGATTCTGTGAATGGTCCAACACTGAGTGAAGCCGTCTCCACCCAGATTCATTTGGGCTGGAGATGGGGCATTGGAGCCTCTTTTCTCCCTTCATTTCCTAGTGGCTGCTGGAGAAATCGCCAACTTCGGGGCCTATGCATTTGCTCCTGCGACAGTCATCACGCCTCTGGGAGCGCTGAGTGTCCTCATCAGGTTATTGCCACCTCTCTTGCTTTCCCTGGCTCTTTCCTATTTGCAGTTTGTTGAGGTCTGGAACTGCCAAGTGGGGTCAGCTGCCACTTGCAATCAGGGACATGGGTCGGTCCCAGCTCCCAGAGGAGGCATGATGCTATTCAGAGCTCTGGCTCCTGGAATTGCTTGCTGCCAGTGGCTCTAGCATCTCCTCATCTCACCGGGCAATGGACGGGCAGGCCACGCCCAAACCCATGGGAAGGGCTTCCACTGCCAACAGCCCAAACGTTTCACGTCAGTGTTTTGGTTCCCCAATAGGAGAAGCTTACAAATGAAAAGCATGAACCCAAGGTGAACATTCCCTGAGTTCTCACCGTAGCTCTACCGCGTCGCAGTTACGTTACCATGTGCAAGTCACTGAACCTCTCTAAGCCTCAGTTTCCCCACCTGCTAAATGGGGATGCTAATAACACCTACCTGAAGGCATTGCCACAAGCACTAAATGAGATTGCACAGAAAGTGCATAGTTAGACTGGCATTGAAAAGTAACCATGGCTAACATATATGAACGGCTTACTACGTGCTAGATGTTCTAAATGGATTCCGTGTAGTAACTCATTTAGTCCTGACAGCATCCCTGCTAATAGTAGGGGAGACCTGAGGCCCAGAGAGGTGAAGCAACTTGGACAAGGTCACGCAGGCCCTAAGAGGCTGAGCCGGGTTTCCCACCAGCAGTCTAATGTGAGTCTGGGTGCTCAGCCACTGTGCTGTGTTGCCTTGCAAACATTAGCTAGTTTTAAAAATAACTAATACTCAATGTGTGCTTCCCGTTGCCCTTTTCCTCCCGATCCACAAACACAGTTCCTCTGTGAGGGTCCTATAGCCCCATTTGAAGCTGCCTCGAATTGTCTTAACCTTGGAGCCCTGGTAGATCCTAGCCACCCACACCCAGCATCTATGACTTCGCTGCTTCATTTTATCTCCTTGATGACAGCTTTGCAACATTTACACAGTCAAACACAACAACTAGAGCTGTGACTCACCTTGCATAGTTGGCTGCTGTAGCAGCTGCCTATCTGATTCGTTTACAAATTCCCACCCCTGGGAAGTTGGGAGGGTCGGAAGTCCTCCTGTGTGTGACCTCTGCCCACGCGTAGGCACCAGGCTCTCTTGAACAGGCCGTGTGGGTAGAATGTTTTTGGTCTTTTTAGAGGAGAGATGGGAGACATCCCAAGGAGCTTGGGCATTAATCCCCTCCAACTAGGCCTGGGTCTGATTAACAGATTTTTACCTTAAATGCATGCTATCTTTGTAAAGAAACCAAAGCATGCTCCAGCATTATATCGGTCTTGCCCGATTTCCCTCCCTTCTCCCTTCTTCCCTCACCTCTGCTGGCTCACCTGGAAGATGTGAGGGGAATGAAAATTACATCATCTAGGAACAGCAAGGAAGTGGGGGTTCTTTGCCCAGACAAGAAAGAGAGACTCAGGGAAGTTGTGAGAATTCTCTGCAGTGATGTGTAGAGGAAAACCCAGAGGCTCTATAATGAGACAGAACTGGAGCTCAGATCCTGGATCAGCTACTAACCAGTTGTATGACCTTTCCAAGTTATTTTAACTTCTGTGAGACTCAGTTTTCTCATCTGTATAATGGGGATAGCATATGTTACTTCTCAAGGAGTCGTGAGATGCTAGTGAGATAGTAAATAAAAAGTTCCTAGTGTAATACGTAGTACGTAACACAGGCCTGAGACACAGGCCTAGAATTGTTATTGTGGTTGTTTATATTGATATACAAAAGGAAAAAGGAATAGATTTGTTCTATATGGCTCATGCAATAGAAATGGAATAATGAATACAAATTGCCATAATTTTGGTGTATAATTAAAATGAGCCTACAATGGATTCATTTGCCTTGTGAAGGGGTGAGCTGCTTGCCACCAGAGGTATACAAGCCCAGGCTGAAAGCCGTCGTTTGCAAAGACGTGCTCATCTGGGAGGAAGTTAGACAAGAGTGCTTCGAAGGACTCTTCCAAATCTTCTGCTTTGGAATACTTCCAGTCTCTAGAGTGAAAGACACTCCCAGGCACGTCCTCACACACCGTAACCCTCAATCAGTGAGGGCTTTGGGGGAGTCTCGAAAAGCTTCCCTGTGAGAGAGGAGTGCGTCCTCTGTTCTCGGGGAGCACTTGCGCGGACCCCGTTTCTCTCCTGGGCGCTGCCCAGGCCTGGCTGCCTCATGGCTTCCTCCCATTCCCACCCGCAGTGCCATCCTTTCCTCCTATTTCCTGGGAGAGAGTCTGAACCTGCTGGGGAAGCTGGGCTGTGTGATCTGTGTGACCGGCAGCACAGTGATGGTGATACACGCCCCCGAGGAGGAGAAGGTCACCACTGTCATTGAGATGGCTGCCAAGATGAAAGACACAGGTAGGCCCCAAGCCCCCCACCGACCCCGCAGCCCCTCTCCCTCCACCCCTGAGCAGGAAAGCCCTGGGGATCAAGTGGAAGGGCTGACTGGGATGGGAGCATCTCAGGTGCTGCCACCTGGAGGAGAAGGCAAGCTACAGAAAGTTGGCGGCTGGTGCTAAGGCCAGCTTATAGGTTTCCCAGCCTGATATATACCCACCCCATTTATTCAGTGTGCAGTGTGTGCCAGGCACTGTGCTGAATGCTTTATCTGCATTGTCCAGGGGTGGGGAACGTCCAGCCCGAGGGCCACATAAGGCCTGTGAAACCACTTGGTCTGGCCCTGCCAAAGCATGAGGGGTGAGTTAATGAAATGTTTGACCAAAGAGAGCAGGCTAATTTTTAAGTGGATACTTTTGTCTGGCCCGAGAATGATGTTATAAATATCCAAATGGCCCTTGGCAGAAAACAGGTCCCCCACCCCTGGCATTGTCTTTGTCAGTTGTGGCTGCTATAACAGAATACCATAGACTGGCTGACTTATAAACAACAGCAATTATTTCCCATGGTTCTGGAGGCTGGAAAGTCCATGATGAAGGTGCTGGCAGACTGGGTGTCTGGCGAAAGCTGGCTTCCGGATTCATAGATAACCATCTTCCCACTGTGTCCCATGGGCGGAGGGGTCGAGGGAGCTCTCTGAGGTCCTTTAATAAGGATACTAACCCCATTCCTGAGGGCTCCATCCTCATGACCCAATCACCTCCCAAAGGCCCCACCTCCAAATACCATCACTTTGGGGATTATGTTTCAACATATGAACTTGGGGGGACACATTCTGCCTTACAGCATACATTATCTCATTTAATCCTGTGAGGAAAGCTCTCTGTGGAAGGCCTTTTTTAAAAAAATCTTTATTGTTGAAAGTATTACATAGGTCCTCCCCCCCCCCCCGCCCTCCGCCCCATTAACCTCTTCCAGCTCACTCTCTTCCCCCCACCCACTCTCACCACCCCATTGTCCATGTCCACGGGTTATGCACATATGCATACAAGTTCATTGGTTGATCTCTTCCCACCCACCCTCCCCAGGAAGGTCTTATTATTAGCCTTAGTTTACTACAGCCTTGGGGTTTCTCTGTCCCCCTCCTCTCTGAAGGGTACATCGTGTTTGCTGTGCTGCTGCTGGTCTTCTGCCTCATCCTCATCTTCGTCGTCGCCCCACGTTACGGACAAAGGAACATCCTCGTCTACATCGTCATCTGCTCTGTGATCGGGGCCTTCTCGGTGTCTGCCGTCAAGGGTCTGGGCATCACCATCAAGAACTTCTTCCAGGGGATGCCAGTCGTGCGGCACCCCCTCCCCTACATCCTGTCCCTCATCCTCGCCCTTTCGCTCAGCACTCAGGTCAACTTCCTCAACAGGGCGCTGGACATCTTCAATACCTCCCTGGTGTTCCCCATCTACTACGTGTTCTTCACCACCATCGTGGTCACCTCCTCCATCATCCTCTTCAAGGAGTGGCACAGCATGTCCGCCGTGGACATCGTGGGCACCCTCTCGGGCTTCGTCACCATCATCCTGGGTGTGTTCATGCTTCATGCTTTCAGAGACCTGGACATGAGCCAGACACGCTTGCCCCACATGCACAAAACCCCCACCCCGGCCCCCGCCCCTGCCCCCGAGCCCACTGTCATTCGACTCGAAGACAAGAATGTCCTCGTGGACAATATAGAACTCTCCAGGACCCCCTCGCCAGAAGAGAAGCCCAAAGTATTTATCGTCCATTCTTAAAGCTCAGGGATCTCGAGTGAGGATGAGCCCTGTGGTACAGCCTGACTTCTCAGTGTGGGAAGTTATTTTCAGCACAGCTGTTACCCATGGGCTCTCTTTTCTGAGACATTCGTTGATACCTCATCGCTGTCTCCAGGAGGAAAACCCGTACCCACTGAGTGGTGGGGACAGAACTTCCTGGAATCACAGCCTCAGTGACCAAACGCCCTGCTTACACTGTTGCCAGCAGGACCCCTGGACCTCCCTTCCCACGTGTTTCCTGGGTGCCATCTGTATGTGGGTGGGGAGAAGACAGAATCTGACCTGTTGAATGTAGCACTAAGGACTTCCCTGAGATGTTGGTCGGCAGGAAATCCTCAGCGCCATTCTCCTGAGACTGACTTGCCATTCCGCAGCCCAAAGATGAGGCTCAGAGAGCGATCACCAGGCTTCCCTGTCCAGAGACACAGCTCATGAAAAATGCCTTGCTGCTTTCGCCGCTTCCTCTTTCTTTGGAGACAGAAGTAAGACCTCAACTGACCTTCTTACTGTGAAAGTCACCTGGTGTCTCAGGGAAACATTTCCACCAGCCCCACTCCCCAAGCACTCCAGTCGGAGGTCAGCATCTTCGTTCCCATGGCCTCCTCCCCCACGCCTGCCCCTTTCCTCTCTCCTTACATCTTAAGGAGTTCGTCACTGAGACAGTCAGGCAGTTATCTCAGAACTGAACACAAAGCGACAACCACCACAACAAAAGCTGCTTCACAGCCAAGCTCTGCTGGCCAAACCCAGCGTGTCCTTCTGCCTCAGAGAACAGCAGTTGCACTGCTCTTAAATGTACCCTGTCGAGCTATTGGCAGATGCACTCTTCTTTTCATCGAGGAGTGGAACCAAATATGATTTGGAAGATGGGGAGAGTGAAGAGCAAAGTCAGGATTTGGCAGGAAGCAGCCAGCGGCTCCATGGAAACCAGGAGCTAACTTTTGTGTTTACTCTGGTGCCCAACCAATTCCCCAGGCAGAGAGGGCTCTGGGTAATTGCTGGGCTCCAGCCTTAAAGGCTTGGCCACTGGGACCAGCTTTGAACTTCAGTGACCAAGGGGAGTGTAGGCTTGGCACGGGAGCATCTGGCTGCTGACCAGGTTGCCACCAAGACCCCAGTTCCACTCATGAGCTGCCCACCTGGGAAGCAGCGTGTCATGATGCTCCAACACCACCTGCTTTGGGGTCTGCCGTCGGTCCCCTCACACTTGGCCAGAGGCATTCACAAAACAGGAGCAGCTGGGGAGAGAGATACTTGATATCCTTCCTGCAAGTCTGCTTTCCAGCTGCAGGAGAGTGGGAGTTGGTACAAGGACTACTGAATGGAGCCAAGTATCTGTAAAGAGGGAGGAGTTGACCCTCAGTCCCTGAGCTGGGGCAGCACCTCCCCTGAGAGCTCCCTGCTGCGCCCTGTGTTTACATACCACCCCCCAACCCCCCAGCGCAGCCAACCCCAGGCCAGTCTCTTGCCGGCCTTGGAGCTCCCAAGGTGCATCTGACCAACAGGCTGGCTTCCCGCACCTCCAGCCTCAAATCCCCAGTTGTTCAGGAATGGATTTCTGCCTGTAACTAAAATCAATGCACCGTGTTGGATTTTGGGAAGAGCAGTAATCTGAGGGCCCTGAGAGTGTGGTCTGCAGGGTCAAGAATAAAGACCTTCGGGTGTGTTTACTTTAGACTTGCGTCTTAGCCTTCCTTGGACACGGAGCAATTAATTACCCTGGTGCCTCTAGTGCTGGGAAGCCGGTCCCCGATCTCTGGAGGGTTGTGGCTTCCAAGGAAGTCCCTATAGCGCAAGGCTGACTAGGGAAGAGAGTCAGTAGAAGACACCCGAGCCCTTGCAACATGCTAAGAGCTTCACGTAAATTCTCTCTTTGTGTCCTCCAAAATCCTCAAGGAAGATATATTTTTATCCTCATCTTATAGATGAGGAAAGGGTCTCAGTCAGAGGTGAAGAAATGGGCCAAGGCCACACAGCCAGGAAGAGTCCACGTTGACATCTGGCTCCAAGCCCACAGTCTTAACCCCCAGGCACAGTCTGATATTACTCTGCTCATTTCTTCTGTGATCTGTGCTGTCACCGCCTCGGAGTACAGAGCGACCACCACGGCCCAGATGGATGTCCTAAGCACATAGCTGGGACTCATAAAAACCTGTATTGAATGAAGAACAGTACCATTCCAAATAGTCCTTCTTGGCCCAAACTCTCTTGGGGACCAGCTCTCAACCCAGAATAAGTCCTAATCGAACCCCATGTTCAGCTCTGACATGGATGTCATCTCTGAGCACTTAGCCTGGGCCAGTCCCAGCTGGGCGGGTTCCCGCAGGGCACTTTGCTAATGAGCACGGCATTCCCGAGGCAGGAGTTATTCCCACTTGCATTAAAAGGAGACTCACTCGGGGCTCTGGAACGTACCCCCTCTCACAGCACGGGCAGAATCTGAACCCAGGTCTGGACAGCCAGGCTCCGTGTCTGAACAGTGGTTGGCTTCGCTGATGGTGTTAGGCAGGCAGGGCTGTGGGGTGGTGGCTAATTTCATGAGCAGGCACTTTAGTAGGCAGGGCACTTGTGTTTGGCGCCTTTGATGTCCTTAGGCAAACTCAGCACGAGAAAAGTAGGATCAGAACCAAGGACCCTCCCAGGGCTGCTGTGAAGAACAAATGAGGTGAAGTAGCACTGCTGGGCAAGTACTCAGTAAATGCTTCCTGCTATCACGGTGATGCGGATCCTGTCTGTCTGAGAGAGCCTCAAACTTGAAATGGGTCCAGTGAGGGAATGAGGGTGGGACCCCTGCATGGATTGGGAAGCGCTAATGGATGAGCTCTGGAGTCTGAAAGCACACCCCACTCCCAGCCCCACGTGCCCACCCAGCCCAATAGACCAGAGCAAGTCCTCTCTCTCTTTGAAGTGTAGGATCCTAGCAATTAAGATGAGGAGAACAGAGGGCCTCAGCTGCCTCCTAAACTCATATCAGGGAACCCCAGAGTCATTCATGCCTTTCCTGACCCAGAGCCTAATTAAACTAGACCAGCCTATGTCCAAGCGCAGACGAACAGCCCCTTCGACTGGTCTGGGGCTGCCCAAGGCTTGTGTACGGCTCAGCTTCTCCCATGAAGGCTGCGGGCTGTGGACTCTGTGGGCACTCTCCCGAGGAGTCCTCTGGCAACAGATCCTCTCCAGGCTGAGCAGCAGGACATCCAAACAAACAAACAAACAAACAAGGAATAGCCAAACCAGACATTTCAAATGACAATTTAGTTTAATTAAATACAAACAAGGGGAAAAGGCACCATGGCCCATTCAAGTATTTTGCATAGATGTACAAATACTGTAAACAATTACTAGGTGGACGAGAGAGAAGATGATGTTTCCTATGAACAATCTCCCATATAAAAGAAAATTCACATTGCCCTGGATCGCAGACTCACACACGCACACACAGTGGATGGTGTGAGAGGATGCGGGGAAGGGGAGCTTTGGGGGCGCCTGGCTTAGATTCTGCAGAACCCCGTTTAGCACCTTTCTAGTCGGCATACCCGTGGCTTCCTGGGGTGTCCAGCAGAGCTATTGTACACGCAGTTCACACAGTCGCTGACTGCAGAACTCGTCCCCAATTTAAATATGCAGGTCTGCCATTCCCTCTGCCAAACGCGAATTCGGACCTGGGTAAGGGGAGGCTGTATTCGAAAGGATTATTGCAAGAGGCAGCAAGGGCGGTGGGGCCAGGGGCTACTGCAATCCCGAGAGACCTGTGAGCGGCTCAGAGCTGCGGCAGAAAGGGCTTTTCTTTCATAGGGAGAAGTAAACAGGGCCAAAGAGAACCCAGGCCGGCAGGTACTTCCCACCTGGAGCCCGCGCCTGGCCTGCCGCTCCCACCCAGACAGGCAGGGAGCCAGGCGCTGTCTCCCTGAGGTCCCCTGAGGTTTACATTTCAGAGATGGCTCCCAGGCTCGTAAGGAAAACATTTCCAAGGTTGTAAAACTGGCAGAAGGCTGAATTAGCTTTAAAAAAGATTTATACACAGCTCCATCTGAACAAAGCGCTGGTTAACTCGGTCCACGAAACCTTAGCTCCACTCCTCTCCTCCCCATGGGACTCTGAACCTGGACCCACCCTCGGCCCAACATACAGCCCCTCCCCCAAAAAGCCAAGCACAAGATGGTCCCTGAATACACCTCTTTCTCGCCAAGTTCACTCCTCCCTGCGAAAAGGCCTTTCTTCTGGAGCTCTGGGAGGCGGGCAGCCCTGGCAGCAGCTTGCCTGAGCATTCTCCCGGCTGAAATATTCCCTTTCCCCGTCTTGCAGTGATCCTTTCAAATACAGCCCCTCCTTCCTTGAGTCCGGATTTATCTTTGCAGCACATGGGCACAGGCGGGTAAAGGGCACGGCATGGCCGGTTCTGCTCCTGGGCAGCCACCGTGGCCTGCCAGAGTGGCGACACCTGGCCCCATACAGAGAGCCCGGAGTGAAACAGCCAAGAGAACCGGCTGCCAAAAGTCTATCAAATTTAAAAAATTCTACCATCTTCCAGTTCACAGTACAATTTTATGGGATGGAGGTGGTAATCATGGAAAACAAAAACAAAACAAAACAAAAAGAAGAAAGCAACAACCCGGATCTCTTTGGGTTCTGGTTCCAGGGAGAGTGGACTTCGGGTTCAAAAGGCTCAAGCGGCCACAGGGCGGGGGCATTTCCCCTGCAGGGCCATCTGCCCCTGACGCCAGGGAGAAAGGCTGGACACGCCACAGGAGAGCCTGTGAGCCACGGGTGGCTTCAGGGTGATTTTTTTTTAGGGGGTTGTTCTTTACATTTCTGGCACCCAGCACTGAGGCCTGGACGTTTGCAGTACCACACTTCAATGACAGGCTGCCCCCTGACTTAATCAACAGCAAGGAAGGCAGAAATTGGCGATGGGGGGCCACCAGGGCCCATGTCAGGGAGACGGGGCATGAACATCATGACTACCTGAGGGAAGAGACCCCATTTCCCTGAGACCTTTCTAAACCCACCGATGTGTGTCCCCAGGTGCAGGTCCCAAATCTCCCACTTGCCTGCGAACCCAATCTATTGAGCACCTGTCGTGTGCAGAGAACTGTAAGGGGTCGGGGGTGAGAGCTCAAGTCTTTTCCGTGCACTGAGGTTTCCAAGAGCACCTTCCCGGGGGTGGCAGTCCCAGAGAACATTCCAGGGACAAGTGGTCCAACCGTGCAGAGCACCACACAGCCCTCCCTCCTGCTCCGGGGAGGGCAGGACTCTCTGAGCGGCGTCTGAGGCTGCTCCGAGTTCTCTCCGTGAGGGCAGGTAAGGCAGTGACCGGAGAGAACGCAAGGAAGTAGAGCCTAAACAGCCTGGCTGGCCCCAGCTCAGACTCTCTTGCTTCGAGATGGCCGATGGCGGCTTCTTAGGCACCTCCAGAGACAGGGCTGCTCTGTCGAGGGCCGTGACCAGACCTAGGCACAAACTGGGGTTCCTAGGACGTCTGCTCCCTAGGTCACTGCACCCGCTGCCGTCCCTGCCCCTAGGGACCTTGCTTAGGCTTAGGTCAGGGAGTAAGGGGGAGACACCTTGCTGAGGTTATAAAACACAATGGAAAACGAAGCCACGCCCCCACAGCCAGGGCCCGAGTCCACTTTGGTCAACACCCGTGAGAACCGATGGCACGCACCCTCGGGCAGGACACAAGCACCAGGTCCCCAGGAAGTCAGCACTGCGGTGGGTCCACTCCCCGCAGCACCTCACACGGGGCGGGTCCAAGCGGGGGGAAGGGTGGGGCACTTAGAAAGTGCAGAAGACAATGGCTATCAAGAATGATCGTGAGTCAGGAGTCTAAACCTTTGGCATTACGGCTCAGGGGAGGCCTGGCGCTCCCCCTGCTGTCGACACTGCCTACAACTAGTACCTGTCTGAGTCAGAGAGACCCGAGAAATAATGGGATGGGGGATGTGGGGTGTGGGAGGGCAGAGGAGGGAACTAGACTTGTTCCCATGTGGATGCAGAGCCAGAAGCTGTGATGCCCAAGCCCGGGCAGGGACACAGCAGCGGCTGGTTTGACCCTCTGTCTCAGAGCTACGAAGGATGGGGAAGTGCCCGGCCTCCGTCCAGCCGGGGACCTTCAGGAAGACAAGCACTGGCAAGCTCCCATGCACACCTTCCACCAAGGGACGAGGATGGACGGCTCCTCCGCGCTAAGTCCTGACCTGAAGGGCTGAGGGGACCTTTCCCAGCCGGGCTCCTCAGCGCAGACAGCCCGGGCCTGGGCACCTCTGCGGTGAGGGGCCAGCTGAAGGGAGCTTGGAGAAGCCTCCATTCATCCTCTCCCCCCGGGCTGTATATTGCACAAAACAACTCTGGGATGCCGTTGGATGGTGGGGACTCTGGGCCTGAGAGGAGGCTGGGAGGCAATGAGTCAAGAAGGAGATTTTCGGAGATGCGGTGGTCCGGGAGGAGGGGCTCGGAGGCGGCCAGGCGGCTTCCAGACTGTGGTGCTGAGTCCTGGGAAAGGAAGCAGCCCCTAGACAGGTCTAGATTCTTGAGTTAGTCATCCACCCAGCCCTCTGCGCTGTGTAGTCAGGAAACTGTGGAAAGAGAGGGAGGGGAGGGAGAGAAGCGTCAGCTACCTGCGATCGGTGGTGTCCTCTGGGGTGTGGACAGGTCGGACGCGGACAGCCGGTCAGT